TACACCACATGTCGTGTTTTTATTGAATTGATATGTACTGTCCGTATTGTATTATCAAGCAGTATAACAAACTGAGATAATAACCATTAAACAAGCTTGAGCAATTATATTCTATTCTAAACTGCCCATCAAGTTTATGGATTGCCGTGCTCAATTTTGCATGATCAGATCCCTAATCATCTTTCACCAAAGTCGTCTTTGACTACAACTGTGATGCTTTATGTTTGTCTGTTTCGACTTGGTCCTTGACAAGCCACTGACTGTTTGGAAGTTATGCTGATGAAGAGTTGGCTCACTCTCATGTTTATGCCTACAAAGTAATCAGTATTCACAATGCATTCTTATTATATGTAATTACTCTACAATGCCTTCTCTGCTGCTGAATTCTATGTGTGGCGTATTTGCTTCTGTACTTTGTGAGCAAAAGAGGCCAATTAGATGCAGCAGCCATGTTTTAAATCCATGCATGTTCTCATCTAGATTGGGCCTCTGGTTGTAATGCCACCTCAAATCATGCATTACACAAACCTATATAGTTCATGTTGTATATGCGTTAACTTAAATGTTCATGTTAATTGAGAAGTGCAAACATCACAAGTTTTTTATTTTTATTTTTGATAAATTACCCAACAAAATTTCTTTCATTCATGGCAAGAGACTTTCTGCTCCTCTTTGGAGTTTGGGCGAATTCAAAACGAGGAACTGATGAGTATCTTTCCACGCCAATGTGATCTCAGAGCCATATGCAGCAGCAAGCAACACCACCATAGAAGATACGTGAAAGCAACACCTCAAAGTACTCCTTGGTATCTGCTACACACTAAACTACTTCTTTATCTTGTTCATGAGCCCATAAAAAGCACATCACCACCGAGGGTGCCTCTTCACGAGGTCTTTTTTTTTTGTCTTAACGACCTTGCTGGTGTCCATTTTGACCACCACCGCCCAATGACTACCTCACTGATGCTCTCGGCACCACTCCATCTGCCTGCTATATGTGCGTTACTCATCCTAAGCTATGACAGTCCAAACCAGTTGAGTTCATGCGTGCATGGCACCATCCAACGCAGACAATGTGCTAAAAAGGTCAGAAGACAGTAAACAATTGGTGCATTGAGTGTACAGTGTGAGAAGCACCAAGGAGGGGGGAACATAATGTTCAAGGAATCATAGTAGGAAGAACCTTAGTGTTAGAGCTATCTATTATTTGAGATCTTTGCAAGCCTGATGGCCAACGAAGACCAGTTTGCAAGGGAAACGCTGTAATGTCCTTGAATGTTTTCTAGGAAAGAGAGTTTGAGGCTTAATGGTGTTTGTAATAAGCTACAAATTTCTGTGTTAGTACGTTAATGATGTTTGAAGTAAGTATTTGGCTCCAAAACGGTGGGGTTTTGTCCTCCTTCAAGATTAGGAGACAAGGCGTACACTCTCAAGTCAAGTTGATGTGTATATTAAGTTGACTGGACCTGAAGTTGGAGTCTCCGCCAAGCATTACACCCTCCAGACCTGAAGTTATATGTATGGTGGAAGCAGGAGTACTTGTCCGATTAATACGCAAAAGACACTACAATCTTACTCTCTCTTTCAAGCTTTCTTGCCAGCAAATTAACCTGAAATAGATGGTTCGAGTGCCTCGATGTAGATAAACAACTTGGATGGCGTCAGTGAGCATCAAAACTGACGAGATACAACTTCAAGAGTCGATAATAAACACAACTTGCAGCTTCAGACGTATATGACCTTTCTGTGCCAAGGGAGACGCTCATCAGCTCTCGAGACGGTGCCACTATTAGATTACATACAATCTAAACTAATCTGAAGTCTGTATGTTTTGCGATCATAAATTTCCTGTCAGCAGCTAAACATGCGAACTGACCAGTTTTAACCCACGGGACTGCCGGTACGTAGTTGCAGTACACTGCGCTTGCCTTTGCAGATCCCAGGAAATTTTGATCAGTCGTCCTAAGCTCTTAAAGCTACAATATATGCATCATTTTCGAGGAGTAATTTAGTGTGAGAGGAGCTCCGATACAATAGAGGAAGCACGAACGCACTTGTAGAGTTTAGTTGCATGGGCATGGATGGATATATATATATACATATAGAAATGCAGTTCCAAGAACTCACCTCCAACCTCAAAACAGATCAAAGAGTGTGGTAAGGAGATCAGTGCCTGATATCAGAGCCATGCACCCACCATCCCTTGCTCACCAATAGATTCAAAGATCGAAAAAGGCCCGGACTGCAAACGAAGAGAAAGGGATGGTGCGCTAGCTTATGGAGATCTGCAAAGGCGTGCATGTGACACAGTCTATGCTTAAAGCCTTCCTCATCTGAATCACAGAAAGAGCTGGACAAGAAACAAGGAGCAGTTCAACGTTTCAAAAGGAGGCTCGTCTCTTTGGAGCAATTCTGAAAAGTAAAAGCTTTGAGTGCCTTCCTTGTTCTTTCTTCCTGATACCTGATTCAGTAAAGAACAACTCTGGTCCTATGAAACTTAATTAGTTGGTATATATTCAATGTTATCCTCCTTCTCGTACTTGCAAGAACACCATGATGCAGGGTGGTCCATGGTCAAGATTCTGCATAACCCAACTCTTGGGGTTAGATAGATAATGGATTACGAGGACAAAGGTGGTGGATGGATCTTGAGTGCATCTGAAGTATAGTTGACCGGAACCTCAGTTGCAGGTAATCAATCTTGGCGTAGATTGTGGTGGGAAACGGTCATAGATTAAGCCTGGATCACATGCAACCCTTCGATCGATCTTAGACGACTAGTAATTAATTAGCCCGTGTCGTGATTTCCCTATACAAAATGTTGCTTAGTAGATCTTACCTATTCTTAGCCACCGGCATTGCAATTTGATAGCTGAAGATAACAAGAAATGTAGCGTGTTTTTCCTCCCTTCATTTCTAAGAAATCGACGCATGATATTGATTTTTTTTCTCTCTGTAATTTTGAGAAATTTGATTTGGTGATCAAAAACTAATGTTTGGATTTGATACGAATTAATGATGATATTTATTTATTTTATTAGTTGCTTGGGCCACTGTTTCTTAAAAGGAAGGTTTTGGCTCGCCGGTCTCGTTCAAGCCATCAACCAGGGAAGTTTACCTTCTCATTGGTCGTCAGCCACTGGGCCCGACGGTTGATCGAAGAATGTAGGCAAAGCAAAAGACGAACATCCGCATCAGCCAATGAAAAGGCGCCATACTCATAGTCGATGGCTCGACTGAGACACCAGTGGATGCGCAGGTTTTCATTCATTTCTCATTCTGATTTGAATGACAATATTATCAATGACAAAGCATTTCGTGTGCATATTAATCCCTCTTTCTGCAATCCCTATTCGTTTCTTATATTGATCATACCTAAGACACAATTCCATGAACGACAAATCATAAAAAGTTGCTTCACATGCCTAACAATCAATCCCTCGCAGCAAAATGACATTAATAATTGCCATGGATTCCACATACATTAGATTGCAGGATAACTTGTTGACAAGGGAGACCAAAGGGAATGGCCATGAGGTATGAAAGATATAGACATTGAAATTGCAACTCATGAATCCCTTGGAAGATTTCTGATAATAATCAGATGATACACTCCATTTCCACTTTCCATAACTCAGAAACAAAGCAGCAATCTGTGGACTTTGCTGTGATTCAGTGCAAGATTAATCAAGCTACACAAATGCACTGCATGTTAAAAACAAATCCAACACATTCATCTCCTAGCACTGGTAGATTGTGTGAAAGATGCAATCCCTCCATGAACCCTTTTTTCTTTCAGATCTTATCCTGTGAATATATCTCAGAGAACATGACAAATTCTTAAATGTGATTGAAGGGGGGGAGTCTTTGCAGTATAACATAACAAATTAATTATATAAAACATCTATACTACCAATTAAATTTGCACACAGCAAGAGATGAGCTCCCCATAAAAAAAAAAAAAGAGTCAAAATGATTGTAAAGAAAGTTATTAGGGATTAATAAAAAAATATTTCTGGGTGAAACCTTAAAATATTAGCCTTCTCATTCTTCTAATAACAAAATATAGGTGCACAAGTTCCCATGAAAGAAAGAGGAGGAGGAGGAGGAGGACTGGAGACTGGGCCCTGCTCTAATTGGTCAGAATCTGCCATATCTATTTCCAAAACTACCCTCAACAATGCCTGAAAGGTCCCTCAAAAGAATTGACCCTTTCCAGTTTCCCCTGTAATATACCTGTTGACTGCCCCCAGATGGTGAGCTGTCTCCCTCCCAAGCCCCTGTAATCTATTCAAGGTTGTGCAAATCCAAGACTATATATATCCCAAGGAATAAAAAGAAGATGCTCCTAAATGTTTTATTTTTTCCTCTTAAATATTTGAACATTTTTGAAAAACCTATTTTGCAATGCATTGTCATCCGAAATCATCCACCACAATCCACTGGCAATAGATCACAATGAATTATTTATCCATTGCTTTATTGGGTACAGGAAACCTAAATAAAAAAGAATTGGTGATTTTGACAACAACTGTAGATGAGTATTAAGTGAATTGTTGGAAATATACTTCATGCCTGTAGAAAATTAATAGCCCATCCATCATCCACTGATCTCCATCTGAAAGGGAAGTAATACTTCATGCACACTTGTGATCACTGCTAATAAATTGGAAATCTTGATCACCAAACCAAATAGATTAATGAGGAGGCTCTTGGCATTTGTGTTCTGGCAAGTTCACTATGATTTGTGATGGTCCCTAATTTGGGAGTCCCAAAAAGCCTCCCCTTAAACAATGTCTTTGTACTTTGTACAACCATATCATATACAGTATAATCACCACAAAGAAGAAAAAAAATGTTCCCACCTATCAATTATCACATCATCACTTTTCTTTTACTATTCATCATCACTCCTACAACCCCACACAGCTGAAACCCACCACCACAAATCCCACAAAAAGATATTTTCAATCTTTTTTCCTTTGTTTTTTTGTCTTCCTCTCCCCTCACCAGACTCTCTCTCTCTCCTTCTCTCTCTCTCCATTGGCAACAAAAAACCTTACTTTCCTCTCTATACAACAGTGAGTCCCCTTCGCCTCTCCTCCTCCCCTTCTTCCAACTCTGGAATACTGTTAGCATAGAACTCGTTTTCTATATAAAAAGGAGTCCTCTTTGAAGGAAGGGGAGGAGGAGGGAGAAGGCGGAACAGGGACCTTTTATCTGGATTGAAGTTTTCACACTCTTTTGTCTACATCTATATCTCTTCTGTGTCACTGTGCAATGAGTCCATGCTTTGACTGCTCTTCCTCTACCCTCCTCTGCGCTGAGGACAATGACAGCATCCTGGGCTTCGATGATGAGGAGGAGAAGGGCGGGCATAGGCTGAGTTGGGTTCCTGAACCAAAAAGGTGCGATTTTTATGGGGATTTGCTCGTGGATTTCCCCCTGCAGTCGGATGAGTTCTTGAGCTTGTTGGTCAAGAGAGAGCCGGAGCATCTGCCGAGGGAGGACTACGGCGAGAGGCTTCGGTCAGGGACATTAGAACCTTCCATCAGGAGAGATGCTATTGATTGGATGTGGAAGGTGGGTTCCTTTTTTTTCTGAATATTTTTCTTATTTTCCCCTTTCTTGTTCTTCGTCTCCTCCATTGATCTTGCTGAATATTGTTTTGAGTTTTTGATGATTTTCTCAAAGAAAAAGAAGACCTATTATTCATAAATTCACCACTTATTCTAGATGCATATTCTCCTTCTTGTTCCTTTTTCTTTTTGGTGCATTGTTTCATCTTCCTGCATCTGTCATATATGGAGATGCATATTAGATTTATTCTGCCTATTTACGAGTTTCTTTATCACTTCTACATCTATAATTTTTAAGTATATGATTTAGGTTATTGGGTGGGATTATTTGATCCATGAAATAATAAAATTTTGGTTTCTATTTTACCCTTGCTTAATATTTTGTCTGCACTTCCTGGAATGTGGTTTGGGGGAAACAACCTTCTCTTTCTTGTTTGTTTGCTGTTGTGATTTCTTAGTATCAAGCTTCGGTTCTTCTTTTCCTTTTCCTTTTTCCTCTCTAATATCTTCCTCTCCTCAGCTCTGCACTGACATATTTTTGGCTTATGGAACAGGTTCATGCCTATTACAATTTTGGACCACTGAGTGCCTATTTATCTGTCAATTACTTTGATCGGTTCCTCTCCGAATATGAACTCCCAGTAAGAATCATGTTCATTCCCTGTTATATGATCTTTTATGCATTCATTGCCCATTTTCTTTTGTGTCAATTGTAGCCTTTATTTTAGTCTGATTCCTATGTTGTTATACAGACTAGTCTAATACACTAATTTTTCCTCTTTTTTCTTTGTTGTTATCTATAATTGTAGCAAGGCAAGACATGGATGACACGACTATTATCTGTGGCCTGCCTATCTTTGGCTGCCAAGATGGAGAAAACTGATGTCCCTCAGTCCCCAGATTTACAGGTGAGAGAACATCAGGTGTAGAATTCACTGATGTAATCTCCACAAACATAGCTCTTGTAACCATTTATAGATTGCCTTGAATAGGATGGTGAGGCAAAGTATGTGTTTGAAGCTAGGGCCATTATGAGAATGGAGCTGATGGTGCTGAACACCCTCAAATGGAGGATGCAAGCTGTGACTCCTTTCTCATTCATAGATTTCTTTCTTCACAAGTTCAATGGTGACGATGTACCTAACCAGTCATCGATCGTTCGGTCCTCCGAACTCATCTTGAGCACAACTAGAGGTGCCTTTCTTCCACAGCTGTAAATTTGAGGATTTGATTTGTGGCATGAGTAGGTGGTTTAGCGTTGTATGTCTAAGAATGAAGCAATTGCATGCAGGCATTGATTTCTTAGCATTCAGGCCTTCGGTGACTGCTGCGGCCATTGCGCTGTTGGTTTTGGGAGAAATCCAGAATGTGGATGTTCAGAAGGCCTTGTCTTGTTGCTCCCATGTTGCAAAGGTAAAACAATTCTATTATTATTTCAAGTTAAAGACCAGTCCTAATTGTTTATTTACTTTGGATCGCAAGAGGTGTTATACTTCTTTGGATGATTTTTGTTGTCTTCGATGGGTGTCAGCAGGAAGGAGTGTTGGAATGCTATGAAGTGATTCAAGACAAAGTATTGATGAGGAAGCAGTCAGCTAAAGATGTTAGCCTATCAGCATCCTCTGTGCCACAAAGCCCAATTGGGGTGTTGGATGCTCCATGCCTGAGCTACAAGAGTGATGATGCAACTGTTGTGTCACATGCAACTTGTCTTGGTCCTTCTCCAGCTAGCAAGAGGAGGAAAATAAGCAGATGACCAATCTCATGGAGTATTATTTTGTCTGCTCATCATCTCTTGGGAGGTTCTGGTGCTTTGGAACATGTATTTTGGTTTGGTTAGGGAGGATTTTGGTGTGTTCAGGGGTTTCACCCCCACCCCCACCCCCAAAAAAAAAATGAATGAATGAAAGAATGACTTCAAAAAGAAACAGTAGAAACAAAAAATACAGGTGTGGAATCAGTTTCTCTGTTGCTCATGCCTTTTAACTGTGGATGAGGCAGCCACCAACTTTTTTTGTTATAAAACATCAGAATGAGAAGTGCCAAAAGGATAAATTTGACAGAATCAGTTGCTCTTTTAGGTAAAGTTGCTGTGAGAGAGGAATAATTTACATACTGGTTTCCTTGTTGAGATGAGCAAACCAGCAAGCAAATTCTTTAAAGGATCAAAAGTGAGCAATGCAGACAGAAAAGAAAAAGAACAGAATGTGAAGAGGCAAAAAAAAAAAAAGAGAGCAGGAAGTGGATTTTTCTTTAAGAGTACTGTGTTCCTTTGTCACCATCTACTTAAAAAATCGTTTTCTAGTATTTCTAATGCCCACCACCTGACTGCTTGTCTGCTTAGACTCTGGAATTTGCTTACCCTATGGCATGAAGGAAGAGCCCACTGTCAGTAGAAATATTGGGAAGGCAACAACATACAATAAGAACCTTCAAGGAGCAGAGAAGGTCACATAACACAATATAATAGGTAGGTGTGGGACTGTAGGTGGACTTCTATTTGGAAGTTTCTGTTTCTAAATCAAGATCATAAAGAATGAGAGGAATTGTTTCCTGCAGGCCTCTTCTCTCATTTTTGGCTCCCTCTGTTAGGCATTTTACTTATCCTCAATAATCAAGTACATAATCCTGAGATCCAATCTGCAAAAGGCCATTGCAAATTATGCATATGATTTTTCTGATACCAGTTTGGATTAAAATAGGACAGTAGCATGTGATAAGCAACCCACTGAGGTCCACTTCAATTAAAGGGTATCTATCACATGTGCACTTATGTGGCACAACATAGCACTGTCACTTTGGCCACTGTTCACTGTCAAACGTGCTATTTAGTCTCATCTACGCTTGAATACAAAGTGATGCCACGGAGCAGTTGGCTGACCATACTATTTAATCTTTGCTTGGTAGCATCCTTTCATGTTCATGTATACAGTTCATGCTCCCCTGTATTTTGGCCATTTAGTTATTATGATTTTATCGAAAAAAGTTTTTTTGTTTTTTTTATATGAATCAAGGTTTTCTCTAATGTCGTCGATACGAGACGATCAATATATAATCTTACCTTATTGTATATAAAGAGATTATTTTTGATGACTCGAATCATAAACATTTGATGGTATTTATGAAATCATATTGTTTAATTCAAAATGATTATCTTTTAATTTGATTTTTTTCACCGACAGCAATTTGGTGAATCCTAATCTCAACTTCTTGTCTTTCTCCTCTCATGTAGATTCAATCGTATGATCAAAATGGTCAAATCAAACACATAATGGATATATAAACACTGTGCATATGAAAAAATCTTCTTCACCCAAAAATATAAATTTAAAACAGGTCCTATCCGGTAGGATTCTTATTTTTACGAACCCCATCTCTTGATATAGTAACAGAGCAAAAAGTAGCCACAATCTTAAACAAATACATTGAGCTGACGAGTGAAGTACGTAAATACAATACTATCAAGTCGGTCTAAAACTTTGATGGAAAAGGTAAAACAGTTACGTTAAAGTCACTAATAATTAATATAAAATTATATTATCCGATAAATATGAAACTTAATCGATTTTAATATAGTACTATAGTACTATGTGAAGTGACACGAGGCATCTTCATATTTAGAATTATAAACAATGAGTTACGAGGTCATTCGGAAAAGGAGACCATCAGATACCCAAATATAATATCAAATAGGCCAGGGTGTAGTACCAATAAGAATAAAAAAATTAGTTCAAAAGCAAAAAGTTCAATTAGTAATTTGGAATATATGAATACTTCCGGAGAAGTTATTAGAATTGACATGTCTCATGATCAAAAGAAGAATAAATATTATTTACTTACAACGTGGATAGAAAAAAAAATTGATAGTACTATATTTAAAATTTGGTATATTAAAAAAGTTAAACATAATAATAGATACAAATTATTGTTCACAAGGATCTTATATTGTAGATGTAAAAAATATTTACAAATATAATTATAGTTCTAAAATTTATAAAAATAAAAAGGTGTTTTGAGTGTCATTAATATTTATGCCCCAAGTCAAATTGGATGATCAAACTAAAACAGAATTTTGTGCAAACTTAGATGATATTATTCAAAAAAATGTTAGGATCGAGAGCACTAAGAGGGGGGGGGTGAATTAGTGCAGCAGAAATCTTTTAGCAATTAAAAACAAAAGCTGCGTTCGTTCGATAAAAATCAGTTTTGAAGCAAAAGCCGACTCAAAGATAACTTATGACTAAGTGCAGTTTACGTCTAAACGTAGTTTACGTCTAAACACAATTTACGTTTAAATGCAGTTTGCATCTAAATGCAGTTTTACGTCTAAATGCAGATTTACGTCTAAACGCAGATTTACGTCTAAACGCAGATTTACGTCCAAACTCAGTTTACGTCTAAAACGCAGTTTTACGTTTAAACGTAGTTTACGTCTAAACGCAGTTTTACGTCTAAACGCAGATTTACGTCTAAACGCAGATTTACGTCTAAACTCAGTTTACGTTTAAAACGTCTAAATACAGTTTGAGCAGTTTTAACGTCTAAA